GATTTGTTTTCAGACTGGTAGAGAGGGGAACACAAGAAACAAACTTAAACTGCTCCAAATTCAGTTTTATAATTAACTTCACTGGGTAGATCTGAATGTTTCTAAAAACAATGTAAACCAACCGTTTGTATTTTATGTAAGCTATACTGCAGATTACTGTGTGATCTTCTTTAATATGTAATACCCGGTAGGTCTACACGAGTAACGAACAGTGTTTGGACATAGGAAACAGTGCCCTCGCCATGCGGAACCCAACATCCCTGTATGACATATCCCCATCTAACAATGGAACATGTTCTTCAAAAAATTGCAAAATGATAAACCGAATATGTTTGAATCCACCCCAAGGTCCAATTTATGAAGCTGAGATACAGACAAAAAGGTACTAAGCAAATTTTTTTGCTATTAAGGTAAGCAGTTAACACATCTGATGGAAATCCAGCCAGTGAAATCTTTTTTTTTTTTTTCCATTCAGCCAAACTTTTTGTTGCCGAGCCAATTTCTATGCCCCCAACTCCTACAGGTGGCTGTGCCGACTTACTTTGTGACAGCAATATCCTATAACACCAGTTGTCTTCTGAACAAATATGCTAAGATTGGCACATCCAGCGTGTATGACACATTTGCCCAGAAAGACTCTGACACTTGTGATGCACGGCTCTTCACATCTCATGCAAACTGCAAAAATCCAACACCTCAGGTGGAAAACCTCGCACACGGGATTCTACTTCGCATTACCGTATATCAACACGGCTTGAATACGCTACAAGCTTTCCTCCGGGAAGGTGAAAAGACCAGACAAAGTCATTTTTTAATGCTTAGTCTAGCTAATATTTGTGGCCTTCATCATCCTGTGGAGATGGTATCCCACACAATCTCTCCAGAACCCAGGCTGATTTGCCAGCATTGTTTTTATAGAAATAAAAAGAAAAGCAAATACACCAGACAGCATTGCAGAAAAAAAGACAGTGGATCTTGCATATTTTGAAGGGAGCGAAGAGGAGGTTGGCTGATGCGAAGTGAAGTCAAGCAAGGAACCAAGGCTTGCAATATCGTATGACATTTCCTGGCCGATGTTTCATTGTTGTTCATTCATATCATGTAAAAAAATAATCTGACTTGTTTTCGCCAAATTCTTCAGTGGGAGAGAAAAAATTATGGCTTTTTTTCAGTTTTATTTTAACAACATAACACTCAAACCACAAACAAAACACTTGTTGTTGGAGTAAGCTACAAAAACAGTTTATGTGTACACACTGGATGGTTTTCTTATTTCTGCGACAAACACTGTGTATTGTATATGGTGTTGGGTTTGGTAAATCTCTGAGATACTGGGGAAGCAGCCATCTTAAAAGACCTCAGTTACAATACTCTTTGTTATTTTTAGTTCCCATAAAAAAAATCCTAGAATATTGTTTTTCTCAGAATATGCAGTATTCACTTAGCTGAAATTTCAGCAGATTTGTTCTTAGGCGCCCTTTTTTAGATTTTGAGTAATTTTGTTGCCTCAAAGAACACAATGCATAAATAAACGATGAACTGAACCTTTAATCTGCATTCTGAGACAACAGGAAATAAGCAAATTCAAATCTCTCAGTTCAATGTTGTAAGTATATAGAATGTAAACAAGAAATTAATATGCATTAAAAACTATTTCAAATTTCACGTAAGCCTCTCCCTTAATTCTGAATTTGCCTGACGATTCTGCAAAGCCATGTTTAAAGCAACTTTAAGCTGTAGTCATGCAGTCTGGTCACACAGTATCCCTATACAGTGTGGATGTACCTGTATGCTCATGGCTAATTGCTGATGTTTCTAGACTATGATCGCTTCTCATTTTCAACACCAAGAGGGAGCTACTAATTAACTCCTTGTGGATGGCAATATGTTGACCAAAACGCTGACAAGAGAAAAGGGCAAGAAATACATCCCAGACATCCTAATACTGACTTATTGGAGTAACCTGAACAATATTTGTGGGACAATTCTCATCAATACTGTCCTTATATAGTTTCAACACTTTGGTCCCACCAATGGAGAGAAATCTACGCTGAGTTTAACTTCAACATGTAGTCCACCTCAACAGACTTCTCAGACTTCGTATGTTCACATACAAAGCAACGTCAATCCGAGGCGAGTTGGGGTTTGTGTGTGTGTGGTGATTTAACCTGTCAACCACGCCTGTGCGTATGGACAGATGGACTGATCCTGTTCACATTTCCTCCCTGCAGCATGATTAAGTCTATTATCAAAGTTCCCATTTAAATGCTAACCAACAAGACTTACCTGTGAAAGGCCAAGGTAGATAGATACAGTCTCTGAAATGTAGAGAAATCTACCATCATTGCTCAGTGCAAAGAGAAAACCGTCAAAGGCCTGGATGGGTTGAGGAAGAAAACAAGCTAGATGTTGGCCAGGCAGAAATTTTTAAATTGTTCTGAATGAAACTTGGAGTGGTAAATCATGATGAAAGCAGGTTGCTGCAAAAGTTTTATCAAAACTACAGATGTGACTGATTCTTTGCACAGGTATCAATTGTGCGATTGTGGGAGATTAGCTCAACAACATATTGCTGGTGGTAAATATCAAGGTTTGCAGAATGTAATGGAAGTTTTCAGCAAAGTAAAGACACATGAACCAACATGCAGGTTTGAATTCCTTTTAATTTGCGTCTGCCCTCAGGCAAAAGGGTTGTTCATACTTGCTTCTCTCCAACTGGGATCAGACTTGCGGGATGTTATGGTAAGCGGTGAGGGGCAATGCTTACACTTACCAAAAAAGTGACTACACAGCCAAAGACATTTGTTCCCTATGGAACTGAAATGGATCCAGGAGATCTTATAACAGGTATGTAACTTGGGACTTTAACAAAAATGAGGAAATTCCAGCTTTTAAAGGAATTCGTAGTGTTTTCAATTTTCAATGGCAAAAAAATAAAAAACCCAAGGAAATCAGCTAATCCGAGGAAAAGTTACATGCCTGTTATAAGTCTGCAAATTACAGATCTTAAATACCATGTGATGAAAAGAATGCAGACATCTAGGTTCTTACTGATGAAAAAAAGACTGCAGAAACCAATTCTTTACCTGAAGAATGTGGCCGCCGAGATTGTGTTCAAAAACCTCCTGTGCTATCGCAGACACTCCAGAATGTTGTTGTGAAAACCGACCTAAAAATACAACAGTAACGATAAAGTGGTTGACATGCTAGATCTCGTAAGTCATATTTTTTTTAGTTTCACCTCCGACAATGTTCCCCACTCAGTCACTAAAATTGCCGAAAAATCAAGACAAACTCTGTGCTATGTTTGCCCGCCCCCTTCCCCGAACACACTCCAACCCAAACCTAAGCATATCTGCACGTAAAGATCCACCTTGCGGCATAGAAGGCTGGCTTTTAATTATCCCATCTTCAGTGGATACTATTCAGGTTCATTATACAAATTTGGCATCCAAGTTTTCTTTATCCCAGTCCCTCTCATACCTGACAACTGGTAGTGATTATCCAAACCATTCTCTTGAAAGGCCAGTTCATACTTTAGGTGAATGCAAAAGCTATTTTGAAGCACATTTATGCTCACTCTGGTCACAAGTGTGAACCGGACCTTAATGCCCTTTTTCCAAGAGTGATCAAAGCAAATACTATTTTGAAATTCTTTCTAACATTGACATGCAAGGTTAAAATAAAAGAAGCAATTATCAGTGGATTTTAGGTGATGAACATGGCCTTGATAATTTTGTTTTTTTACATTTTACTTTTACTTATTCCCATTGACGACAGTGCAGTGACGTATCCTGCCGTGAGGAGGACCAACTTGTCCCCTGACAGATTTTTTTTCTTTTATAAAAATCATTTCTTAACTAAGAACACTTCATAAGTGAGTAAAAAAAATAATAATTTGTATCTTTATTTATCAAATAAATAGGCTTTTGATATTTTTGTCTCCCCATTATCATGTTGAATGAGCCCGAAGCAGCAGTCACTTTTGAATTTGCCCCCTGGACACCAAAAGCTAGTTACGCCGCTGTGGGAGAAGCGGGGTCCAGGGGGGCCAATGTCTGTCCCCCACCCCCTTCGACTGGGGAGGGGACTTGGTCCCACCCCCCACTTTTGGCAGGTCCTATAAATGGGATAAGGCTTATGGATCAGTCTATTAATGCCTGACGGTCTCACAACTCTCCCTCCCCTCTTAAAAATCATTCCACCACTGCTGCTTATCCTACGTATCAAACCCCTGCCAGAGATGGAAAAGAAATCTCAAAGAATTTGGGTCTGTAGACATCACACTGCCAAAGTTCCTGTCCCAGTTACATTGGTCTTTGTGAGGCCAACCTTACATTGAACAGATGAACCATCTGTATGCAGATGCAATGAATCAGAATGGAATGCAGGGTAGGCCTTCCCTGTGTTAAGGGGACAATTTCTTCTGTTAGGAAAGTTGGCCGAGTTGTAGGGACAATTTGTCCCCCGTAGTGTTTTTGGTCCCGGTACAATATCTATATTTCAACATGTGTAGTGCCCAAACTCCGGTAACCGGTGTGTGTGTTTACCGACATGAACATGAGCAGGCTTTGGAGAAATTGTGAACTTGTACTTTCATAAAACAAACTTGTGTAAAACTACCCTTATGTCACACCTTGGACCATAAATCCAAAGGAGCAAATCTGTCATAAATACCTTCACAAGTCCATTGTCAAGACCAATCAAAAGTTACAGCTTGAAGTGACAAAGGAATGCTACAGCTCATCCATGATTGGGCTTATGACCGACTGACTGGTGACCACTAAACTACATGTACAGTGTTGGTATTTCAATAATTCCCTATCGGAAGTCCACAATAATAATGACCATATCAAAAGTTACTCAGAGAGAACACTATGAAAGAACATTCCTATGTTAAGTGGCATTATATTCAACCCCCAGTATCTACTAACCCCCCCCTTATACATGTACATGTACAATCCACCCTTTACCCCTATCTATCACCCACCTTGTAGCACTGAGGAGAGTGTCCTGCTTATCCCACTGTGTCCGTCAGGGTAGTTATGCCAGGGAGGGTCACCCTGCATGGCAAAGTCTCGGATCTTCAGGTAGCTTATGGTCAGCCGGATGATGGACGCTTTGTCCAACTGGCTAGTGATGGCAGCAGGTAGTGGAAGCATCTTGGCCAATTCGTAATACTCGTAGTTCTCTTTGCCACGGCGGTTGCGGGCGGCATCACGTGACTTCTCCTTGCGCAGGGCAATAATCCTGGGAATGGCATAAGGGAGAAAGGATGCTCTTTCAATCAAACAGCACACAAAAATCACACATCTAAACATCAGTTAGCATCATTTCAAAAAAATTGAAGTCCATCAATATAGATCATGATCCACAACGCTATAGAAGTTGTATACAGAAGTTATGATAACATGTGACATGTGGCTGCAGTCCCCCATAAGTCAGGAGCAAGTTTAAAAAAAACAGAATCTCTGGAACACACAATAGGTCTGTAATAATGACAGCACTCAAATAGTGTGACTTTGCAGGACCTTTAATCATTTAAAACTGGGCAAGTTAGCAGGGTATCTCACAAACGGTTGTGTTAATCGAACACATGGCCTTTTCGTAAAAGTTCTAATATGGCAAAAGCTGAATGGTTATAAACACCTAAAGATCTAACATTTTGGGGGAGGGGTCGAAAAATCCTGAAATCCACAAAATCTTGAGAAATAACACTCCTGATCAGTTGTTCTACTGGTACCAGTAGCTCCATTTCACTTTTTGATGTTTGAAACTCTTTACAACTGATAGAGGATGTTATCACCCTTGATTTTGGAGAAACACTTTTAGATAAGCTTCATTCTTTTCTACAATAAGGAGATGCATCATGTATAAATTCACTCTTTTGGTGGCTGGATTGATCTTTTTATTTGCAGTTAGATATGACAATGTGGATTTGTGTATGCTGAATACAGCATTCTCTTATTGCATTACTCCATGCCGGTACCAGCATCGTGATGTAGTGTCATCCAATCATAAATATTCCCAAAAAGAGTGGACCCAATATTGCAGTTTTGTGAAAAAAAATATATATAAAAATTGGCAATTCTAAAACTCACACAGGCATACGTGTACATGTATGCAAAATCTCCAATATTTCTGTCTTAGTAAGTTTTGGTAAAAACAGTTTGAACAATCCTCAACTTAAACAATCAAAGTAAGACTGTCTCTCACCTATGTTGCCTGATGAGTAGCCCAAATTAAACCGGACTACAGCCCGTTTTTGATTTGGGTCAGATCATCACTGATTAACTCCATCACTTACATAAATTACCCATAGTGTGAGCCAAAAAGTCCCGAGTTATGGTTGACAAATGAAGTATCATACAGGATAAGGATCTCAATTACTGCTTAATGACACAGGACACTTCACCACAAATCTAACAAATATCACCGCCTAATGAGCCCTCGAGCGCCTCCTCAAATGAATAAACCCAAATCAATTTCCACTGAGCCCAACGGCCCGCGGACGGCCCCCAATGAGGTGATCGGCTCTGAGTTATTGCTTTCCGACGAGCGTTAGCCCTGCACTTCCCGGCTTATAAATGATGCAATAAATGCCAGGCTAGCCCCTGTGCCTGCGCCCAGTCGGTGCGCTAATGATTTCGGGAGCAGAGATAAAGCGTTGTTTATTTGCAGGATGATGTCAGCTACATATCCCTCCCTCCCCGTGAATGGACGGGGTATACAAGCATCGATGACAAGGCTGACATATCACACTAATGTATCATTCCATATGGTCTGACAATCATCAAACTCAAGGGGAGACATTCTTGTCAAAACAGACAGTACTCTTAGTCATATGCCAATTATAAAACCACACAAACTAGTCTGAAACAACCTCCAGAATACACAAATCTAATTAACTCAACAGAAATTCATTACTTGAGAGTTGTAATCATTATTTTCTTGACGTGTTCAGCTTTTCCATGCAAGTTTTTCTTTGTTAACTCCATCATAACGATTTAGAAGAATGTCCTTTTATAACTGACCAAGATATGAAAGAATTGCCCAGCAGATAGTAAAGTCACAAAGTGTGTAGTATCTTAGTACCTCTCGAAGACATACATATTGCACTGCTCAAAAAGACCATGCAGTTATTGAATTCAACTAACGGCACCTCATCCAAAAGAGACAGAGACGAACTTGAGTTTCTCACAAGTCATCCAGTTTTTCTAAGCCAATTCAGAAACTATTTAAATGAACTCTGTTATTACTCAACCTTTTTTTTTTGCACCTGGTGGTGTCGCTAGACTTACGGGTATGAAAAGAGTTGTGACCGGACTTTGATGAACTTGACCACAGTCCTGCAAGGAGATAATACACCTGTGTGCTGCAGCAGCTGACTTTGTAACTTTGGGGGAGTTTGAGCTCTCAGGGACATTTAAATGTGTTGCAGAAAACAAAGAAAGTATACCATCCTTTTACTAGATTATTACACGTACCGGTATCCTTTTACTAGGAATAACGTGACATGTGGGTATTCCCTGGCTTAAGGATGTTGGGAAATTTTCTACATTCTTATGCGGCCAATAAATAGTGTACTGGTATGTGCTGCCAATGTAATCACTGTTTTCAAAGAGATGGGTTTGTCTGGATTGGACAAAAAGGAACATTTTACATTTTTCTGAAATGCCTGTCTCTTCTTAAAAATGACGACCACATCAGAATAAAATACACTGAACAATGGCAAATGAGCAAGCAAACCCAGGAAATATGGGAACAAGAAATTCTCCGTGATGTATCAACTGTTCCAAATGAAACAAAACTGGGAACAATTCACTTTTCTCCTGGAGTTGAGGTATGGCTCGGATGTACATGTATCTTTTCTCAAATGAAGTCATCAAGCCCTTGTTCCACGGAGTCATGCATAAAATCTTCTTATTTTTGATTTCTGGCTGTACTTGTAAAATGCATTCTTCTGACTTCAATGTTCGCTCCATCCCTACAGGATGCAGGTCAAGCAACTCCTTGAAAATCTCGGAACAACATCTTCTTGAACAACATTCAATTTAAATGCTCAGAAGAAGTTAACAAGCCAAACAAGGGAAACATCTGAAAATCAATGGGGGAAATGCATTTATGCTAAAAACGAAATAATAAAAAAAGGCAAGAAAGAAAACAATAGTAACAAAGACCAACAAATTGACAGTTCAATTTGTCAAACCAAAAAGTCAATGGAATATAAAGCCACTTACGTGTGTAGGAGAAATAAGAGGACACGGCGCCAGGGTTTTGAAAGACAAATGACAATATACTGATATGACAGCCCCTTCTTTTGAAATACTCCCCGATGAATAGGAGGCCATAAACCATCCAGCACAGGGGATGTAATAATGACAAAAAATACTATGACTTTTCACGATTTTCAAAAGACAAGAAGGGATGGGTCATCTCATGAATGGCTCCCCCAGATGAGATGAGCCTTTCAATTTTTCTTGTACAAACTGTTCAAAAGTAACAAAACTTAAATGGTTTAAGCTACAAGTACATGAATCCACGATTTGTGGGGTACAACAATTCTTAAATCCGGAAAAAACCTGAAAAATTTATACTCTAAAAGTCAAGTAAACTTCACTTTCCTATTGACACATATTGGTACTTTCCTGCAGAGGAATTCACCATTGTGGCTATTCTCTGAAGCAGGCTCATATGTATCTCATATAAATGACAATCAGCTATAGTGTGATTTACATGACAAAAAGGAAGAACGGCAAAAAACCACCTGACACGATGTCTGAAAGTGAAATGCACCATGACATGCCAAAATGAAAATTCACGTCATTTTTATCCCCACTGTTGAAATGTATTTTATCTTCAATGCGTTTAAAAATCCAAGTCAGAATATAAGTCACTCCACCACAAGATTGCTACTTCTCCTTAAAAAATTGGAATGGTGAATTATAAAATCTCATAACAAAAAGAACTGACGTACACATGAACAAGCGTTACATAAGTAAAATGACTTCTAAAAAAAGTGAATTGCTAAGTCAATCATTTACCATATGTCAAATGATTAGTGCAATTTTGCCACCAATTCTACCTTTTTGTTAACAAATTTTAAAGAACTACGGGTAAATATAAAAACAGAAGTGAAGATAAAACTTCACATACGGTACTTGTACCAATGTAGTCATGTAGCGTAAGTGCTACCGTACATATGTCTAAGCTGCTAACACCAACTGCTAGTGCCAACTTATCCCGTCTAATACCCTACAACTAAGTCAATCATTCTGCATCGCATGGGCTCAAATCTGTTGGAGTATCGGCGGCACGTCAGACCATGCGTGAGTGTTGAAACACCGTAAGTATACACAAAGGCTGGTCGCGTGCACCAGTACTTACATAGTGGCGTCCAGGTTGGTAGCGTAAGGCTCTGGATACATGAAACATTCCATGCTTGGCGCCTGCCATGATAACGAGGGACAACACGCAGCCATTGATCTCCTGTCTATAGCACTGTGGTTCTCTCATCTATTGGTTGAACACCACACGGGCCGCCTGGTTAAAACAAGCCTGAATCCCCATCATCCAAGTTCCCCCCCCCTATACACACGTAGATGCACTAAAAGGTGGCACGGCTCCACTCATTGGCTTGAAAATTAGTCATCTGCTAAACACAGGCCCCTCCTGCATTTGACAAGTTGGGGAAGGCAGGGGGAAAAAAGTGTGCCTTGTGGACAGCTCCTCAGCCGACGAAGTAGTCCTCCCAAGGGGGCGTGTACGGACAGGGGAGGTGTGAAGTGTTTTCCGCTCCGTCCATCTGCCCGTTTGCCAAGTGGCTCCGGCGGTTTAATTCCTGTCCTAGGAGATGCGTCAAGTGGCTGCAGGCCCAACTTGCAACGTTGTGACCGTGACGTACGGCTCGCCGGGGCCAGCCCCTATATAGTCACTTTAATTCCAACCTTTGACCCATTGGCACCTGTGTTGTCATTGCAGTGGGATGGCTCTGGACTACTAATCGCCAACCACATCCAAAGTCCTCTCTCTCCTCATCCTTGTCCACACACATCTCCAGAAGTCCGTGTTGCTTTTGTCTCACACACAAGTGTTGACATGCTACTGGTACCAGCAGCTAAGCTACTGAATGCAAATTCAGCCGAGCAACTAAGTACACAGTCAGTGAACTCCACTTTTTTTTCTTTTACAAATACTTGGGGGTTTCTTCAGTTGAAAAACAATACCCTGCCCCAATTTTAAGACACCAA